TGGATTATAGTTACTTTTCGTTATCACTGCAAGATCGGTTTTATTGTGAAAGTAATCATTATGATAAATGACATCTGGTGTACCAGACAATTCTAGTTGATTCAGATCAAAGTTGGGAACGGCCAAGTGATCGAATCTATGTTTTATCTAAATTGATCGAGTGATCAACGTTTGGAAATTATGCAAATATTACCTCATCAAATAATTGCGCTGTATATCTCGCATCTGAACGTCTTTATAGCTGAATCGATGCACAAAATCATTTATTCACGCATAGAATTTGGACGATTTCACAGTTGACCTAAGCGATGTGTTGAAATTGCACGATTGCCGATAAAAAATATCGAAATACTTCGAAAGTTGTTAATCGATAATTTTTCTGGAACAGTGAAACGGCAACTGGTGTTGTATGATGCGATTTCCGAATTGTATGATGCAATTTCCAGTTCTAATGAATGCTGATTTTATGACAGACTTACAGGGTGACGAGTTGTACGATGTACTTCTTTCAGATGCNATTTCATGATTTATATCGAACATTTTTGTAGTAATCACTCACAAAAGTGACCAAACGCAATTGCTCGTAATCAACCAGTTTTTTGCACCCAATTTCTCGTCATGAACTCACTCTTTGCAAGATTTTGCAAAAAAATGTCGTTTCATTCCGAGAAAATTTCCATAATTTGACAAGAGACATGCAGCAGCTCACTACATTTGTCTATACGATTGACTGTGAGATTGCAGTTGAGAATAAACAAAATTGTCTCATTCCCATTTGCATTCCTCGAGAAAATTTCAACCTTCAGCTAACAAATCACTGTTTAATGACTGAAAACTTGAATCATTCAGACAGTTGGAGCCAATTGCAGCACTTGAACATTCAGCAAACGCATAAAATATTCGCCAAACTATTAAAAATATGCATGGTCTCACCCGAATGCATGCACTATTTTCACGCAAAAATTTTTGCAGTACTTTGCGTTTCTCAATTGCTATCAGCCATTAAAATGTCGTCAACAATTGATTAATTGATTTTNTTGCAGTACTTTGCGTTTCTCAATTGCTATCAGCCATTAAAATGTCGTCAACAATTGATTAATTGATTTTTAGATTATCGGAAAAGGACGAGTTGGACACTGAAAACACCGAAGTAAAAATTTTTAAGAGAGATGATTGTCTCAGTTCTGGGATTCAGTTTAGTTTGTTTGGCGTTGTTTGTGGTGATGATCGGTATTGCATCGTTGGGCCTCGCGCTTTTCGTCATCCTTAAGGATCGATTGTTTCCAGTTGATGCGAGTGCACATATCGGACAGCAGTCTTCTCGAGCTCAGCTCAACCACGGTGTTGCTCACCCACCAGCACACAATCCTAACTTTTATAACGGAAGTTCGTTTTTGGTTCTGGTCATTCTCTCTCATCGAATCCGAACGTTGTTCTCCAAAATTTGAAATCTTTAATACTCGGTAATTGTCCGTAATTAAGTACATAGATGAGAGTGATAAACAACGAACAATTTCCTTTGCGTTATTTTCTTGTGTCCAACATGAAAATTTACTAAATTCTGCATGAAAATCTCAACCTATAAAGTAATGCAATTGAACAGTTGAAACGTTCTTGTAAAATCGTTTCCGTAAGTAAATATGTTCAATTTCAATGTTACTCTCAATTTCTCGAGCGAATGCTTGATGTGCCAAATTTGGGAGAAATAGAATTTTCGAATAATGAAACAGTCTGATCAAATATCTTGAAATATTGAGAGCATCAGTAGATGTTCGCTGCAATTTAGTCAATTCCAGCGAATGGTCATGCTGCGGATGATATCGATGGATTCCACAAATTCAATCGGGTATATCCATTGAGTGGTCAAGATTTAAACGGATCGGATGTGA